GCACACACGCACGCACACACACGCATACACACACACAATCTCCTGACGAGTCGGTGAAAGTCCGACAAAACAGTCTGGCACAGTCCTGCTTTTTTTTGTGGAGTTGTGTATAGCAAACACACACACACACACACATGTCAAACCCTAAATAAGAGAGCGCACTGGTTCTGATCTCAGGATGACTGTCAGCCATCCCAAACCTGTCCAGAGCATACAGAAGCCCTAACCCCGAATATAACGCACAGTCATTATAGCTGAATTTGCAGCAACTTCAGACTAGACACCGCAATACTGACCGCTGTGCACTCTACTTGGGGGAAGGCAGTACCTGCCTCCATAGGGGGAACAGGTAGAATTCCACAGTCTATTTGGGGGAAGGCGGCACCAAACTCCATGGGGGAAACAGGTAGAATTCCACCCTACCCAGCATGTATCACTGAATGATACAAACTACTACACATATGCAGTTGTTAGTGAATGTGTTCGGATCCTGATGGAAAAAGATGGATACAATAAGGTTGAGGCTACCCCTTTTCAAAAACATAGGAGGTGGATTTCCGACTCCAACTCCAACCCCCAGCCCCCCTCGTCCCCCMCCCCCCGTCTTTCCCCCCGTTCACTTCCCAGAGCGACCTCCTGGGGATCCGCCTTTGACAAGAAAGAAGGGCCGGGGTGTGAAACAAGAAGCCCCCCGACACTGTTTCAGTCAAACGATTCAGCAACTGAAATTGGATTGCATATTCCCCCTCTAAACCGGATATTGGGTTGCATATCCCCTCTAAATGGGTCTAGAAGGGGTGCCCAACCCGACATTGGTCTAGAGGGGGTTCGCATCTACACCCTTTTATTAAGGGTTCGAGAAGTGTGTGCTTGCTGGATCATTATGCCGGGGGTCTAGAGGGGATCTGCGCCCCAACATTGGTTTAGAGGGGGGTTGCATCTAGACCCCTTCTTCCAGGGTTTGCAAAGTGTGCGGTTGCTGATCATTGTCCGCGGGTGTAGAAGGTGTAAGGGGGGTTGCATCTAGACCCCTCCTTTCAGGGTTTGCCAAGTGTGTGCTTGCTGATCATTGCCAGGGGGATTAGAAGGGATTCGCCACCCAACATTGGCCTAAAGGGGGGCTGCATGTAGACCCTTTCTTTCAGGGTTCAAAGAGTGTAGGCTTGCTGATCATAATGCGGGGGGGTCCATTGGTCTACAGGGTGGGTTGCATCTAGACCCTTTCTTTCAGGGTTGAGAAGTGTGTGCTTGCTGATCATTGTCCCAGGGGTGTAGAAGGGACACCCCACCCAGCATTGGTCTAGAGGGGGACTGCAACTGGACCCCTTCTTCTTTCAGGCTTCACAAAGGGTGTGCTTGCTGTTCATTATGTGGGGGCACATGGGGACAACACCCATGAAACCTATCCCATTGGGCCACGCTCCACCACTCTCGACATGCAAAAAAGACAAAAAAGTACGGCGGCGTATCTTTTCGAGTTCTAGTGGAAGATTCATTCTCATTTTGCACATGGGAGCGAGGCCCATTGTTTCCATACATCATTTCAATTCAAAATGCTGTATATGCACAAGTATCCTGCACACATAACAAACAAATGTCAGGAAAGTTGAGGAAACAAAAAAAACAAGAAAAAGTCAGGAAACAAAAAAGATTGTCCACTGCAGGGACGCGGGGAACGCAGCCCTAAGGGCCCATGTTCCTTTGTTCGCTTTTTGAAAAGAGAGAGAGAGAGAGAGAGAGAGAGAGAGAGAGAGAGAGAGAGAGA